AAAATGCCCACTGGACATATCGAATTATGCGTGTGCTCGTTGTGGAATGGCTGACTGCACATTTTGCAGCAGCATGTTGGTCAAAGTATACGCAACATGAAGACGAGTATTTAAGTCACTTTCTTTAGTAACTCGGCCATGGTAGATCAATTATTTCAAGTGACCCCGTAGGAAGAAATACAAAGGTGACAAATCTGGCGATCTTGGCTGGCATAAAACCAATCCCAACGTCCATTCCAGCGGATCAAAGATCAAGGGAGTTATATTTACGGAGTACTTCTAGGCTAGGCCTTAAACTCCAGATCATCAAAGATAAAATTAAATTACATCAAAAGAAGTGTTCACCAAATAGGGTAAAAATTTTGAAAGCCAAAAATAAAATAATAGCTTTATAAGATAATGGCTTAAGCATGAGGGAAAATGGTAAAAACTCAAAGGTCTTTTTATTTAAATTTTGCATCAAAACATAAGGACCAGAATCAGTTTAGTCCAGCGGCTTAGGTATTCCAAATCCAGCCAATCATGTATGCTCCAGGCAATGCGTTGGAGCATAGGTGATTGGTAATACGCAGCCAATGCGTTGGAGCTCCGGCATTCTGGAGCCATAGCCAATATCACAGATATGACATCATACGTTTCTTTCACATTTATTTTGAACACTATGTGTAGTACACAGATGCATTTCTTTGGGCATTTTAATGTAATACAGTTCACAGTAAACAGTACACAGTGTGAACAGTGTTACAGTGTGAACATCTTGCACTAAGAGTAAGAACAAGATGAAATCACAAACCTGCATTCTTTAAATTACAACCTTCTTTAAAGGTTGTAATTTTAATTTTTTGATGCAGGTAGTTTGTAGTAATTTCAATGTATGTAATTTGTTGATACAAGTTTATCTCGTTGATGCAGCGAGTTTACCCCGTTCCCCTACGATTTTCAATTCAATAAGGGGAAAACAAAACCTTTCAAATGGAGTGATCCATTATATAGATATGTATAGATATCAAAATTTAAATTATAAAAGAATTAGAAGATAATATTTACAAAAGCGCAAATAGCAGATCTTTTAAGAAAACTCAAAAATCAGTAATTACATTAGAAATTTAAGGTTATTTGATACTACTGGACCTATGAAAGATAAATGTTTTCAAAAGAGTAAAACTTCATTTGATAATTAACTTTAAATTAAAATTAAGCGTGAAAAGTCCGGAGTTTGAGTTCTGGCAAGGGCATAGCTCAGTTTCAGGTTTCTCCCTTCAAAAAACGGAATGTCTCTGCAAAGGTCTTTCGTAAATGCAAATTAGTATAAAGTGAGCTTCCATGACGAGTTGATTTCTGCTTAAACTGCTTTTTGGAAAGCAATGAAAATGTTTGTCAGTTATTATATATAGGAATAACCCTTTTACTTTCTCATCTTAATCTAATGCTTATCTAATATTTGTGATGGAAAATTACTTTTCCTGAAGAAACTAAGATCCATTACTAGAGTAATGGCTGCTCATCAAATATTTAAGTTCATTTCTATAACTTCTTAAAGAAATGGCCCTTCTCATGGCATATAGTTTACAATAAAATATAAGTTTGCATATTGAACAGTGATGCTTCTAATAAAAACACATATAAAAAGCAAATACGAGAGACGGGAAGAGGAAAATATATAATGCATAGCTGTTGACAAGGCTGGTATTAGATTGCTCCAAACTCAGAAAAATCGAATAATAAGTGACTCAGCGAAAAATCCCTTTCGACGAATCGATTCTAGCCGAGTTCCATCGACGTTGATTCGCTGAAGGGGGAATACTTTTCTCCCACTCCATCGTCCCTCAAGTATCCTTCTATGCTGACACCCCCACGGAACAAAAAATAATAACAAAAATCCTGGTTCTGATACGCATCACAGGCTGCATAAGACTTAAAGCGGATTATATAAGAAGGGGGGAAAGGGGGTAAGCTGGGGGTGGAGAACCGGATCCGTCTCAAGAATTTCGCCATTCTGAATGGAGAAAGTTTCCATTTCGACTTGGATTCATTGGGATGAAGAGAAGGACAGTCATGCGTGGTGATGCGATTTCTTTTCCCGCTTCTGGAAATGACAACCAACACACCCTCTTTCGATACAGATATTCTTCGAGGCAGTATGTAACGCTTGGTGGCACATAGTTCTTCATGTAGTTTTGAATGGTCCGAAAGAAATGTGCTTAACCGGGCTTTACAAATGCGGATTCAGATCTGTAGTTTTACAAGTAAACAAGCACATATACTACTTAGAAAAGTGCAATGGCACCCGAAAGTATCATCGATGCAATTTAACACGTGAATAAAGCTTTCCATAAAGCAAATTATCATGGAATTCAGCAAATTTTCGTGGTTCATTACAACAGCAACAACGTCAATGCAACAATTCTTCTGATTTAAGCGAATCCCTACTCATTTAGGTACCTGGGCCGAGGCCTAGTATTACGCATTTAGGTAGGGCCTGGGCTAGGCCATCAGTATAAGATAAGTTGATAACAAAATTTATATTTAAATAATTCGTGTAACAAAGCCCACAAGCTTCCGTGGAATTTCCGTTTCGCAAAATTCTTAATTGCTGCATGCTCATAAAACATAAACTATTTTATTCGCAGCATAAAATAATAATAATGCATTCATTGCTCTCTTATTTACAGTCATATTACTCCAAACTCTAAGTTGCAAGGGAAACTTTTAAAGAAAAACCGATAACTGATAGAACAGATCCCGTTGATGACTTATAACAAGAGAATATACATTAAAAGAAATGATTTATGTATAGCTTAATGTTACACCTTTATCTTTTCGCCATTGTAATTCAAAAAAGAGTCAAATTTAATTTTCCATTTTGAGCGAACATATGCTATAAATAAAGCAATGATAATTATATTTCAAAATCATAAAGAAAAATTATCTTTAATTTACGAAGTACATTCTTTAATATTTTTCTCCATTTAATTTGACCCCCTTTCCTTTCCCTTAATTCCGAATGATATATTTTGTTAATTTTTCTTTCTTTATTGTTCTTTCGATATTTATTATTCTTTAAAGACATTTAATTGAGAGTGCATGTTACTAGCTTATTCCTTTGCTGAGAAGTATTAATTATATACTATTAAGCTGGAAATTATGTTCTTTTTTTTTAAACGATAAAATAGTAAATACACATAATAGCCAGTATCTACTGGAACACAGAAAATCAGGTTTTGCGACATATATTTCATATTACTTCAAGGAGAATGAAATAAGTGTTATATGTGCGTGAGATGTCGGGAGATGTTTTGTGAAAGAAGCCATACGCTTTAGTTAAAATGAATCTTTGTGATAAATACTTCAAAAATATATTTCGATTTTTTTATATATTAATTACTATACACGGCCGAACTAATTATTAAAACTGTAAAGACTGAATGACTTAAAAAAGAAGAAATTTTGGGTTCTTCTGCAGCAAAGGCAAATTATTTTCTTAGATGATTGAATATTTTAAGAATTTATAATTAATTGCTATGCTTGAGGAAGGTTTCCCATTAGTGATCTCGAATGATTATGTAAGTATATACAGTAATAAATTATGTGAGTCTAAAATTCAGGGATTTTCAATTTGATTACTTTCATTAGAACACAAAATTTTTCTGCAAATAAACATCCCTTATTGTAAGCATGTGAGAACATCAAACATTTACGATTTAACTCCCGAATTCGTTTCAATCTCTTCATTTGTTGATTTTGAAAATATCTGCATGTCTAAAATATGAAATGTAGAAATAAATTCAAATATTTTTATTCGAAATCTAGTGTTGATGAGAAATACAATGATATATCTAAAACTTCGCAGCCCTGCTGTCGAGAACAGAATTTCCTGTTTTCTGAATCTCCCCCTTCAATAAAAGAAAAGCATTATTCTTTAATAAAAAATATTGCACTTAGTCACTACAAATATTATATAAAATCTTTTTTAAAAGGCATTTTAAAACGAATAAAAAATTTAACAAAAAGAATATTTTGACTAAACATCTTTGAGAATATTCTTTTCATTAATATGTTCGCATTTAGAAAGTCATTATTTTAAACTGAAATGTTTTCATTGAAATAAGAGAAAATATTTTGTTAAGGAACAAATACAAATGTTTGCGATAGAATATTAATACCTTCAGATCAAATTAATAACCACGAGTTCGACTTCGAATGAGTATGACTTACAGCACGAGAATCAGCTCAGCCTTCTGCAGCTAGATTTTAAATTATTAGTATCAGGACTTAAACTAAGACGCAGCCTATGAGAGCCCAGCTTCAGTACTTCTGAGTTTTCGAGGAAATCGTAATTTTAGTCGAAACTCTAAATAAGATTACCTTTGGTAGTTTAATTTATCATCTATTTTTTAATTAATTTTACTTATTCCCTTATATTTAACTTAATTTTAATTATTTATTACTGTTATTAAATCATTTTTAACCTTTCTTGACAGCCTTCCATACACTTCGGTACTTCTAAATTTAGAAATTAAGCAGCAGAATAAATAACTCCAAATATTTGCCTTATATGACGACATTATACAGGACATCGGTGGAATAATGATTTCTAGTCAGCGGGCTCTTATGTGAGATAACCTATCCCTGTCTTTTATAGAAATGATAGTTCTTCAATTCAAAAACAAAAATCATGAATTAAGAGTTAACTTGCAAAGCAGTTTGGTGCTGCCATCTATTGGAGAAATTCCACACTTGCAGAAAGAGATTATTAATCGATTAAATTTAAATGAATGAATTTTGAAAACTTAATAAATATTATATTTTTAAATTATGCAATTAAAGTTCAAACCATGGAATTTAATAGCTATAATATAAAGGCATTTGGTTTGGTAAATATTTTATCTGTATAGGCTATCTGATATTACTATAAATAAATTTAGAGAAAATGACAGAACAAAATTTCTTTACAGATTTACATATTATTTAACGTACAGATTTATGTAAGAATAACTTACTTTTTGTATCAGAGCATTTTCTTGATAACCTGCGAAATAAAATATGTCATCAACTTCAGAGTACATTTACCATTTTAACATAAAAAAGCTAAATGAAAATTTTAATTGATTATTTTAGTACATATTTGAAAAACTTTAACATCATTAAATAGCATAAATTAAAATCATTGCTTTTTATTTGCAACATACGCAGTTTTCCTGCATATAGCAATTAGCTGAAATAGATACGAATTGTGTCTGTCTTTCAGCACAAACATCAGAAGGAGAAGAAAAATATAGAGAACTAGAAACTGTCATGCACTAAGAATAGTGTAATAAATCATACAATCCTCAGAGATATAATAATATAATGCACAAAAAAGGAGAACATATTATAAAAGATTTTGAAAATGACATAAAAAAATTATAAGAAAATCAATTAAATGGAAATATTTGATTTCAAAACATTACTTAAGAACATGTATGCATATGCATACCTAACACATAAATGAAGTAATACTTATGGTATGAGTTCATCAAAACACCATAGAGTGCAGATAAAAACTGAATTACATTGAATTACTTTAATAAAAAGAAAGGTTGTAAAGTGCTAATAAAAATTTCCCCGTCTTTTGGATAATTCTACTCCAAATATCGGATCATCCCAATATTCTCTAAACCATGGTAGAATAAAGCCTCACAGGAATAATTCAGAATTAGCAGAGGATGTAGAAAAGTGTATTTTAGATTACTAAAATCTTTGTTTACCTTAATTTTGAAAAATAAAAGAAGTGTAAGAAACCGCATTATTTATAGGATTATTGAAAATGAATATCTCTTTCTTTAAGAATTTATCCTCTTTTATCATTATTAATTATTTTTTAAGAAACATACTTTTTGATAGCCTGACTAAACCAAATAATCTTTAAATACAGTGTTACATAATACTTAGCTGTAGTTACATGTTCCTATCGTTTTCATTATTTAACATTAAAAACTTTTGTTTACAAGTAAGTTATATTAGATTTTGTTATGAAAACAAAATTATTATTTTTTATAGTTACCTTTTTAATTAAAAACTTTTAGAACTTGTTAAAATTAAAAAGGCCCTTAAGTGTTCTTATTAATTAAGTGCTCTTACCAACTTAAGCTTGAAGCTTCAAGCGTATTTTTGATCTTCTTTACAACAGAATTATTTGATAGGTTTTACAAATTCTTAAGCCATGCATATTAAGCACAACTGAATTCTATTCTAATCAGCGCAATTATAATAAATTTTAAAAATTAAAAAAAGAAGAGTTGTTAAAAATCCTTATCCAGGAAAATAAACGTAATTGTTTTCATACATCTGTACAGACTTAATATTCCAGTTTAGACTAAGAAACGATTCTACCGAGCAAAGTTTATCCATATTCTTGTACTCGTTAGAACTATTTAACTGCATTTCAGAAAATAATTTCAAATACCTGATATGCAAAGACGCACATGAAGAGCTATTATAAAAGGAGAACCATTTAATATCAGGCATTATATTGTGCCATTTTAAACATCTTGAAAGATGTTTTTCCTCCAAATTAAACTTTTCCAAGGACGAATTTTTTCTGAATAAATTCTTTAATTTCATCAGGATTTTTGACTTATGCATTTTGAGACATTTGTGAGACAGTATGTGAAAATTTATGTGAAAACAACTTAAATTAAATTCTTTTTTTAATTACACTTGGATTCATATACACATAGATACAGGTGAGAATATACCCGCAATTTGACTCGTCTACGTTTTGAATAATCAAAACATAGTTCAAGTTTCTCTATGTCACCAATAGATGGGGTTAGTTACCTGCGGAATTCAGATGTTTGGAAATGATAATGCAATGTGGATTGCCTGTTTGAAGTATCCGCTTATCTTAACAAAAATATTTGTATGCATGTATATCTATCTATCAATCTATATATATATAGAGAGAGAGAGAGAGGATGCGTGTATGGTGTTAAGAAATATAAACATATTAAAGTTGTTGTGGCGATGGTTTTACCGAGAAGATATATACAAAATACTAATTATAAAGAAATAGGTAATGATCATTTTTCGAAATTTTTCTAAAAAAAGTGTGGAGGTGGGTGGAGAAAAAAAGAGTGCAGATATCCCGAGATTTATTATACATAGCTTTAGACACACTTTCCTTTAATTACAATAATGTGAAGCAAATGATCATAAAAAATATCAGTGTATTATAAATTGCATAGTAGTACTAAAAAAAGATATATAAATTATATATAGTACATTTACAGCTTTTCAATTATTAAGTCTGATCATTTGAAAAGTAAACTAAAGATCAAGTAGTTATACTTTGACAGATATATTAAAGATTTTATATCCGTCAAATGGCAATAATAATAACAGCTCTGAAATAAGCTTATTTACAATGTGGAGGTTACGTTAACTTTTTAGAAGCGAGTCGCTTATTAGTGATACCCCAGATAAAATAACCTTTCAGTAAATCATCTATGAATGATATCTGACCTTAAACGGGTTAAGAAAGTCTTCTACCTCTTGGAATGGCAACTGACTGAGAGGTATTTGGTGAACGTGGAAACAAACTTAATGCTTCTCATTTGAAAAGGAAATACTTGATAGAGCACAGGTAATATAAATGCCGAAAATTTGAGAAAGCGTTGCCACAGACGCTTTTAACATCTAAATTAAAAGCTGAATTATTGAAAATAAAAATAAAAATAAACCAAAAAAGGTAATAGGGGGAAAAAGAAATTCTGAATTGATTCAGATTTTAACATCGCACCAGAGGATTTCTTAACATTTTTTATACTCTTGTTGAGCTTGCTGTTTATCCATCTCCTCTCGGACTCCCTGCGAGTAGAAACTTTTTGTCTTTTTTAACCTTATTAAACAACACTTTCTTCGCACCTACCCTACATAAAATTCGAAAGAAAGATTCCTTTTTTTATATATAAAAGGTTTATCTTTTGAATATCCAATACAGTATTAAATGTTGCCTTTATAAGCCCAGAAGGACAATTATTCTCGAACAACACTCTTGCGTAGATACACATTTGTTGTCCGCTTCAATTTTAAAATAACTTGCCGCTGGCCCACCTACCTACTTAAAATAATTGCGATAAAAAAGAAAATATATATAATGAGTTTTAAAAATCCGTCTAACGTAATTTCGTGGGTCTACCTGGTAATTAATAAAAGAGATAAAAAGAGTGTTTATTGCTTTTAGATCGTTTAGTTTGTTTATCAATAACAGAAAATCTGAAAGTTTTCAGATTTTATACATTTTTTTTTAAGTTTCATGTGTTACCTTTATTTATTAAATATCATGTCCTTCGCTTTTAAAACATAAAATTCAATTCAACAGCAATATCCCAAAATAATTTTTAAATGAGCATATCCTTAGAATTCCCGATACACAGTCTCGCACGCTGGAGATTTTTCTTACAGTGTTGCCATTCCTCGTTTTGAAATCGTTCAGTTTGTTAATCAAAAATTCTTTAATGTCTGACTTATAATACGAAATTGATAATAAAACAAATTCCAAATTCCAAATTAGGGTTTCCAGATGCACATTATCGTTGGAGGATTACGTTATTGAAAATTGGATGGCGCTAGACATCGTAGTTTTATCACAATGCTAGAAACATACATACATTTATGCAGAGTCTTCATTATTTGAGTTCTTTAACTATAATGCAAGGCTTTAATATTTGGTGGCAACAGTTTAAAAAGTGAATTAACGCAAAATGTCAAAACGAAATTAATTGCGCTTCTGGGTTAACGCCCTTTGGGCTGAAAATTAAATATATTATTCCGTTCCCAAATGGCAAAGAACTGGCGCCGAAGTTTAAAATATTTTAAATTGGAGATTTTTAAAATTCTCCAAAATATGTTAAATGTTGCCATACATTTTCTTTAATATTCTTTATGTTTCTTTAAAAATAATACCTAGAGATAACATTTGGTGGCAGCATTCTTTTAGTTTTGTTGCCATATATTTTTTATAATTATAATTATTTCATCAAAAACAATTCATGGCGTTTACATTTGGTGAGACAATTTAAAACTCATGAGGACAATAAAGAGAAATTTGAGACTAGTAGCACCTCTGCTAAAAGGAAACATTAATGAAACAAAATTGCGTGTGCAGGAAATATAAGAAACATACTATATTAATTTCTTTCTTCCTTAATGATATTATAGCATAAGAATAAGTAAATACACAAGTTTAGCTTCCCGCTTGAGGCAGAGCGTATTATCATTTTTTAAAAAATGTCTCTATATATGTCGTATACATTAATAGAGTTTCTAAGAAAATGAACTTAACCAGATGTATATATTAGTATAGTCGTCTGAAAACTGAATTTTTGCAAGAATAATGCAATTCGTGATTAAAAAATGGTCTGTGAGTAATATATTTAACAATATAACTTTACTACATTAACATTTTCCTCCAAATTTCCGCTAAAATAATCTTTATTGTTATATGATGGATATCTCTCTTACTTTTAAAAACTAGGCAATTTCTTCTACGCTGCACGAAGCAAACAACATTTAATTTATTTTCCACGTAACCTCTAACGTAGTCGGTTCTCAGCCTGTTGCCATTGGGTAAAGGATACGATCTTTAATTTAAATTTGAAATTCAATCATTGATAAACAAGCGGAGGGATTTTGAAGAAATAAACGCATCATTTAATAATTTCAATCTTTAATTTATTTGTTTTCAACAAAGTATCAAATCAATTATAAGTTCAAATATTACAATACAAACAAGTTATAAATTTTATGAACATTTGCGCTGTTGTTGTAAAAGATGCTTCTAATGGCGAATGTTATGCAGTTGGCGCAGTATCCTTTTTGAAAAATAATCTTCATGATACTTAACGATTTTAATTTTTAATTGTAAGGCTTTTGATTTAACTCCACCTTTTTTTTTTTTTTTTTAATGCTCTCTAAATTTTTAGGACACCCGTGGGACCTCATGGAAACGTTAATAACTCCAAGCGATTAGTACGTTAGTATGTGACT